CAGTGTGTCCCCTGGCCAAGTGCAGCCTTAGAGACTTGATATCAACATCTGCGCCTCACGCACTAACTCGGACTTCTGCGCCTCACGCACTAATTCGGAAACCAGTTTTAGGGAGTTGAAGTTCTAAAAGTCATGCAAGACGTTCTTCAAAACGCGCTACTGCTATTACACGTGCTTGTTTTGTATACAAAACTTGAACAAAAAAGAAATTCAGCCAGCCTGGCTATTCAATAAAGGATTTCTAAATTAAAGTTGCCGTTCATTAAAATAGGAGTCGGATTATCTGGCCGCCAAACCCATAATCTCATCGGCAATTGGTGCATGCCGCAACTAGGTTTTCCCGAGTACCACTGTGAGCGGTGCATGTCGAGTGTTGCTATATCAAGCGTTTTCCCATTCAGGACAGGAAAAGCATAGATTTTGTTGATTGGTAATTATTTCTTCCAGGCTCTTGCAGTATAGTTATGGATTTTATATTCGTTCCGAAGCTTTTCACGCTCCTAGTAACAGGTTTGATGGAGAAATATGAAACGCTAGGAAATGGTTGATACAGCTCTGTTGATCATTTTTTAGGCGACAGCGAAGAATTCTGCTGTGATGAGAAGCAAATAGAATTGCTAGATACGCAGATGACGTTGCCGCGACAGTTGCTCTCAAGATGTCCAAGTTGCTTATCAAATTTTGTCCAGTTATGGTGCGATTTCACGTGCTCACCTAACCAGGCCAATTTTGTGCGGGTTACTGCAACTGCTGACGACTCTTTCCTCCTGTAAGCTTCTTTTTCAGTGCACGGGCAAGTCCTGTTTTGCATCCACTATGATGCGCATATTTTTATCACAAACAATTGTTCCGTCAGACTCCCCTTGATAATAAGATTTTTATAAGCTTAAAACAAGCAGTGAAGGACGCGAGCCTTGCATGCAAGCCGATAGCACTGGATTCTGCTCGATTAAAATCAACCTGACGTGACAGTGGCTAGTTGAAAATGAAGCTTTTGTAGTAAATATCGGACGTGCTTTGGTGCGAGAACAGTTTCATGTTTATTTGTCTGGCAGTCGATGGGCTTCGCTACGACAGTAGTTTGCTGAAAGCCAAAAAAACCATACATTTTTTGTCACTGTTGGTTTGTTGCAGAGAAAATAAATCCAGGTATGTTACGGGAGTGGCCTATTATGTACGCGACGATTACGCCAATGGATTATTTAAGTCATGTCAAAATGTTAGTTGTTAACATTACCCAGTGCAGCTAGTAGCATTATGTTCTTTTTTTGTAAATTGACTTTTCCAGGCAGTGAAAAAAAAGCAAATTGATGCATTTCAGCGGTTACTGAGCATAAGAAGCCGCTGAGAAGTGGAGTTCATAGATTATGCCAAGAATACCGAGACGCTTGAGCAATCGGTGTAGGTATCCCTTGCTAATGAAATGCTGCCACAGGCCGGGTGTAGTTATAACAGATCTTTCGACCGTGAGGTGCTTGTCTCCAGTTAGTGTCCATCGCCTGCTCAATGCATGTGCACTACCTGTTCAGGATTTATCCAGTGAACGCCTACTTCACGCGGATACCTCCCACTAATACATGCTTTCCACCGATAATCAGCAAGTCCAGCAACACACCCTGCTCATCCGATTTTACTTTCCCGCACAGCCGCTTACCCTACACGACACTTTCCCGACGGAGAGTCTGGTTGCTTATATGGTTGCGGAGAGAAACGTCGAGCGTCTTTCGCTTCATCGCTTTCTCCATCAATGCCAACTCTCGCTTTGCGTCTTTTGTGAATGACCATGCTTTGCATCTGCACGTCAGTGCTTCCAACACAGTAGTATTGAAGTTTGACACTTTGAGGACACAGGAGTTGCTGTGAAATTTGCTCCAAACGCCAGCCCTTCTGACTCGCAGTGTCCGACTGGAATTTGCAATGCAAGTTTACTTCCTCTTTATGATGGATGTGACTGTCAACCTCCAAGTCACATCGTCCATATGCATTCTTGTCGTGGGCACACTAGGACGCTACATCACCCTCGTTTTCGATGCTTTGATTTTCAGCCCTACTTCCTTACTTCATGCTTGAGTTCCTGCTGCATCGCTTTTATTCTGATAGAGTTGACAGTAAAATCTCTGCACCCCCGTAAAGTAAATGATTTAGTTGTTTACCATTTATCTGCAGGCCATCCTTCAAATTCAATTTCCGAATCGTCATTCCGAGTCAAGCCGTGAAACACTTGAGCGATATAAGATCACTTTCCCTTATTCCGTTTTTGGTTGCTATGCGGTTTGGAGTGGAAAAAGTGTTATGTCTGTTGAACAGTCCCCGTTTCTTTCCTTAGCGATTTCTTCCACCAAACCCTTCATTTAAAAGAGCTCGCGGCGCAGCATTCAACTGTACGCTGTCGGATGCTTTTTCGTAATCGATGACTAGGGGATAAAGAGAAATTTGATGTTTCCTTGTACTTCCAGCAGCTGATTCAGAACGAATTGAGATCCGTCATGGCTCTAATTACTCCGAAATTCAGCCTGCTCCGTCGGCTGCTGTTCATCGAGGAGTTTTGTTTGTGAAGTCTGATTGTCAGTTAGTGATAATCCTTGTGAATATCTTTTAAATATGAGCGAATAACTAGATAACGCATCTTCCTTGTCGCCCTTTTAATGCAGCAACCAGTTGATTCTTTTCAGCTGCAAGATTTTTTCTTTCGGCCAAGTACTGAATGAATCGGATAATGAGAGCTTTTCAAAGTTCGTGTCCTCCGAAACCGTTCTGTTCAATGTTAATGCCTTCGTCTTTGCGAGTCTTCTCATTTTTCATTTTTATGTAGAATTTTCTGCAGGTGATCTCCATATTTATTCGGTTCGTTGCCCATCATCCACTTCCATTCTTCAGCGCAGCCACTATAGGATGGTACAGTCGTCTCTGGCATTTCTTCAGGCTCTGCTTTTTTCTTTCCCACTTCTGCCTGCCGTCGGCGACTGTAATTTCGAAATCCTCCTTCAGCCTCCGCCTAGTGTGCCTGCAGAGAAGGAAGTGCTCCATGGTCTGGGTTTTATCCTTCATTTTTATGCCTTTTTGCCGTGCAGCGCTAGAGCGCTGCAACAGGCAGCAAAAACGCATATTGCAACGACCCTGTCA